ATTTACATTAGTTGGGATAACACAGTATAACCTTACCTCATGAACGTTGCCCTCAACATTAACCATAGTTTGCACATAAGTCAAGAAATTTGAATTATTAACTGTTTTTAAAGTGCTGAAAATAATTTTTTTAAAAGCAGTATTTTTTGAATGCCTTGAAAAAAGTTTCTAAAATCTTCTTAAATAATTTGAGTGTCAACGAAATACGAGTATGAGTGGCTTACTAAGAAACCTTCGCTTCACTCAGAGCATTATTATAAAGCTCAAGCTCGATATTATGGGTTAGATTTATGCGAACAGATGATTTGCAGGCAAAAATAAAAGTTAGCAAAGTTGAACGTTAAATGAATGTATTATACGAGTACACATTTTACATAATTTTTAAGACCATTTATAAGTTAATCAAACACAAATGACATTCAATTCTTTATACCATAGCATTATCACTGTGGTATAAGTAAGCAACATTATTTCTTCAGCTGTTCTTGTACGCCTCTTACTTTTTTCAATAATATCTACATATATGCAAAAACCTGAAACCTTGTTTGCTTCCTTTTTACGGATGGAAATTGAGAAATATTGAGAAAATCGTTAATAATAAAATAAATATTTATGTCATTCAAGAGCAAACTTTAACAGGCCTATTCTGCCGAGGTAACAAAATTTACCTAGGTATTAAAATTTACCATTCAGTAAATTTTGTTACCATTTCGTATTCTGAACCCACTGTTACCCTGTAACTTTTGTTACTAGCGAAATAGGAGGTAACAAAAATATCTGCTGTTTGAATTTGTGTTGTTAGTTTCAGAAAAAATAAAAACAAAAATGGGTAGGCATATTTTAGGCCTGGAATTCATTGAAGATGAAGAAAAAAGTGCAAAAAGCCGTATTTTAAGAAGTTTTCCAGACTAAAAAATAGTCCTTTTATTTGTAAGATAACGTTTTCATTCAGCTTTTTTTGTTGTCCAGGCATATTTTTTCATAATTAGCTTCAAATATTTATGATTTAATAAACAAATTAATAAAACTTTTTAATTTTTTGTGCACCGTCTTTCATTTCGATGTGAATATTTTTCTTTTTACTGTATCAACTGGCAAATGTAAATGTGACACGGACAAAAAAGCAGTGCTGCCAAATTTTTTTCAAACATTGTAACCAGTTCGCCAGAACACCAAATTAAATTTCGAGTGTTAAAGAGAAGCAACAAAATTTACTTTACTGGTGACATTGAGAATAGGCCTGTAAAGGTGAGTTTAGTTTCTGAATGTTCATATGATGACCTCTGGTAAATCGAAAGAAAAATTGCCTGATTTTATAAGGTTTTGATATGCCTTTAACATCCAAATTAGAGAAATACTTTTTTTAAAAGCAGTCTTTCCCTTTACAGGTGATATCAGCTCTTCCGTGTGATTTTGACATGAAATAAAAGCTTATCACAAAATTTCATAAGTATCAATGTGTGCATTTTAAGTTAGTAAAAAAATTCGGTCGAAAGTTATTTCAGCAGTTATAAAGATTCAATTATAACTATGTCTTTAAGGATATTGAGAAAAGAAATAAAATCATATTATATGTATATCAAAATATTACATTTTGTTTAAAGTAAAATACTTTGTTAAAAATAATTATCTAAAAATTATTGGCAAATTTTATTCTTTTTAAATGCGATTTCATATTAAAAACATTTTTAAAATCATGTAATATATTTTGCGATCTCTGATTTTGGACTTCTTCGAGTATATGAAAGTATTAGAAAGGGATGATATTGACCGACCAAAATTTAAATCGACTTCAAGGAAATGAAGAAACGCTAGTCTATCTGTTTTATTTAAATATATTTTAACCAATTATTTCCGTCGTTGATATCGAATACTTCCCCACACTTTTGTATTAATCTAAACGCTAAATGCAAGGCGGTCGCTATAACCGGGTGGTCAGCATTGCGTACTGCCATTCTTACGGTCGCCCTTCGGCAAGGAATGTCAAACCCTCCGACAATAAATAAAAGCTCCCCATGAAAATCCGACGGCCGTTCGAAAGCAACTTAGAAAAACTGTAGGTTCCTCCATTTGTTGAAAAACATCAAGACGCATATGACAAATTGGAGAAGGAGCTCGAAAATTGAACCGTCGAAGATGTTCCCAATAGTAATTAAAAAAATCTCCAAGTTGAATATCTTATGAGTGATAAGATCAAACAAATTTGAGCAAACACGTTGAGTATTAAAAGTTTCGCCTTATGGAACAACACATATATCTTTTTCGAATAAAAAATTGATTCCTCGGATTTTCAGTTTTCATGTTTTGTTTCAAGTAATTTAATTAAAAATTAATATTTGTAATATTAACCCATTTACCTCCGAAATTATTTACATATAATACATCTGTGTAACAGGCACTCAACGATAAAATTTGTTCACCAAATATATATTCCATCAGCGACTCTCATGGCCTTCAATTGGCCAAAATAAACAAATATGTGTATTGTATAAAAAAAATTATAATTTATTAAACTATTGGGTGCACGCATTAATTCGTGCGATTTTTTTCAGAAATTAAGATTTTATTGAAATTAAAACGGTTGCTTGATGAACTCCTAATACTTTTGCAGGTTCTTCTTGCGTCTGGCATGCATCTGCGTCGAGCAATGTCTCCAATTCTTCGGCTTGAAGTTTTTTGGCTGTCCGTAGTCTAAGTCGAAATTGCCACTTTTAAAGCGTGAAAACCACTTTTGGCACGTTCGTTCGGCTAAAGCATGCTCACCATAAACGTCCAGTAAAATACGATGGCTTTCGGTAGCACTTTTCTTCATGTTAAAGTAATGAAGAAGACTTTATCTCGTGGAAATTTCGACATTTTTGTTCACGATAAATCAAATAACATCTAATGAAAACGACGTGAAATGACAGTACCTGTCAAATGAATATAGCCACAGATGAACACGACGCGAAATAATACTAGTAGAGCCCTCTCCTATAAATCCGCACGAATTAATGCTTAGATCAAATGCAAGTGTATAAATCAAAAATTAATTTATAAAACTTTCCTTTTCCTTAAATTTTTCCTTTGTTTAAGTTTATGCACAAAAAAAAAAGGAAAATTCCGTTTAGTTCACCAAACTCCTCTTATTCCTAACAAAAATCTTTATTAAAAACTGAAATTAAATTTTCCATAATTTTTTTGTTTGTGTAAATAGTTTTGGCAGATAGTTTAAAGGTTTTATAATTGTTCATTCAGTTTTCCCCCTTTTAAATTACAGCACTCTGAAGCACAAGGGTATCGCACCGTTTGTGCCAAACATAACTCTTTCCGTCTGCATACTTGGTTCTTATAACCTTAATTAATTTAGAAAAATAATTAATTATTAAAATATTTAATTCAACAAACTTAAGAAATAATAAGTGAAATTTGCAAATAGATATGTTATTCTAAATACAATTTCATCCGGATAGTTATAATGCTGAATGACGTGTTTAGCGCATTAACGCTTTTTACCTAGTTACTTATACGACCAATTCACTACTTTAATTAACGCGAAACTTTCAGCTCCATTGCACTTAAGATGACTACACTTTTAAGTATGTACTTGTACATAAAAACCAAATGGGTATGTATACATACACAAGTATCTTTGTACACCAGCGTGGATACACATGGTAGAGCTGCTGAAAAGTTTCTGTATACCAGCTGTTAACATATATGTATGTGTATGTATATATGTAAGTATCTAAAGCAATTAAAATTAAATTATTTGTGTATAAGCAAACATTTCTTTCATCGCGATGACCGTCATCAAAATATGTAAGTGTGCGTGAATTCAAACACAAACACATATGCAAACATTCATACATATCACAAATGCGCATGCGAAATGGAGGAAATTCTTCTAAAGTTCAACGCGTGAAAAAAGTTACGCTAAATTTTAACTGCCAACATCATTATTGCACGAGAAAAAAGCTAACAATAAAACCAACGACCTTTACTAATAAAAGCACTTCTAATGGGTTGGAGATAGGTAACACACACATACGAGTATGTATGTAATTGCTAACGTATCGAAAACAAAAATGTATTATTGTTTTTTTTTTTTTAATTTAATGTCAAAAGTTGAAATATTTATCAACTGTTTGCTTTATAATTGTAAGCCGATACCATACGAACTTAGCTGGTTATACTGATAACTTCTTTTCCTGTTGGTTAGATATAAAAAGGTAAATTTTTTATTCATCAACAGGTACAGTTGTCATCAAACTAGTCCGGGTTCAAAACTGTAACGGACGTACATGCTTTTTGAGAGAAATTTGATTACACGAGACAAAAACTAAAGGAGATTCTCGTCTAAAGCTAACTAAAGGTTGTAATGATAATAACATTGTTATTAAGCTAAATTTTCATATCATTCATCAATATTTCGTTGTTTTGACAAATAAATGCCAAGTCGATTTTCGGCCGAGCTCCTCCTTCGATTCGTCTTTATGTTTTCCCAAAAAATAGCGGGACCCGTAAATATTAGGTCACCTCCAATCGACCGATGGATTTTTATAAGAGAAGTACACTCAAAAAAAATGACATTCCCAACCGAGTGGCGATCACAAGGTTTTGGGAGAGAACAGAAATGGGAGGGTAACTTTGCTTCTTTATTGTGCGCTTTTAAAATACTGCAGAATATTTTCACCAAAGCGTTTAAGGGAATTGCAAACCTTGTTTGATTATTGTTGTTTTATGAGGTTTTAATTTTTGGTGTTTTCCAAAAAGTATTTCCTTTTACTCTTTCGCGTAAACATGCGTAGATGAGATTGCAATAATTAAGATAATTACGAATGTAATTTAATTATTATTTTTTGTACTCAATGAAAACTTAATATATTGTACAGTGGTGGGAATCTTTCGCATTTTTTCACATTTATTTTCAATTATTTTCTAAAAAAATTGATTAAACAATTTACAAATGTATGCTACTAATGATGATACTAACATTTATATAATATTGATTGTTTTAGATGTCCATGCAAAAGTTAGCTGAAAGCTCAAATTCAGGTTACGTCAGTTCTGAAGAAACCGATTCACTGCTTGTATCCACTACGCCAAAATGTAAGTCATCTGTGCTACGCCACATAAAAATGAGCTCAGTAAATGGACCAACAACGACGAATATGACTTCTTCCACGACCGGAAAGCCGGCATTAATTCGCCAGGATCGCACTTCCACATATCTAACGAGTCCTCAGCTATCGCAACAAACTCGTCTCGGCTCTGAGGATAGTGTACGCGGCGGCGGCGGCGGCGTCGGCGGTGATGATGATATCGAACAGGGACTGCGACCGTCAACAGTACCAGATATTGAAGTGCACGAAGAAGACCAAATTAATCAACAGTTCACACAAAAGATATTAGAATCGAACCATCTAAAACAACAGCAAAGCCAGCAACAACAGCAACAACAACCGAATTCGACTCCCCGATCACAGTTTCAACAACAAAACTCCCAACCAACCATATCAATAACGAATTTGAATACGTATCAGACACCACAGGAATTTGCCAATTCGCAAAGTAATACGAATTTGGGTACATCATCATATCAGAATCTGTCATGTGGTATAGCGACGAACGCTCAGAATCGTTGTCGCGCCTGTCGCAACTGTAGTCGACGAGCATCAACGACGCCAATATCGACTACAGGTAGTATTGGCATAGACCGCTCAACATCGAAAGACAGTGTCAGAAGTGCCTTTCAACAAAGTAACCTGTCCGCTTCCAGTTCGGCGATGCAACAACATGCACCACCATCTCTTTTAGTCACATCATCGCCTACGAATGGGTCACGCATAATACGGCAGAGCTCTCAGCCAGAGTCCAGCACCACTGCCATTTGCTGTGGGTCCCACAGTTCTTGTGGCCATTCGCATACCGTTCCGAATGTTTCACTTAAGGTACTACGGGACAGCGCGACGGATGGTATTGCTGGCATAGCGGCGGATTCCTTACGCTTCAATGGTGGCATGCGACCATTCAAACAGGTAACAAATGAAGTTGTTCAGTAAAACTACCTCATGTAAATATTTGCAAGTTTTACGCTTGTATGTACATATGTATGTATTCATTCTTGCCAATGTAATGTTGAACTTCACTTTTGGGATATTCATGTTTAATTGTGTGGATGTGTGTATATGTTAATTATCGAACATTTGTCACATATAACTTTATAGTTTGTATATATGTACATACAAAATGCAATATGCATAAATATATATATTGTGTTCATATCCTGACCACGATTATGTGTAAGTAAATAAATAATACAAAGCAAAGGTTAAGTAAATTTCGAATTACATCAACTGTGACTTTCAAATATCCGGATTTTAGATTACAAGCAATAGTTAAAAATTATGGTATTCTGTGATCAGAAGAAAATTTCAGTTTTTAGATTCAACCATTGTCTCTAGTGAGTTAAATGATCGTCCTTGTAATGCTGGCTGCCGCTTACTAAATCCTTTTTGTCCTTGAAAATTTACATTTTAATGCAATCATTTGCCTATAAAATGTGCATAATAGATATCATAACATACAATAATGGTAGACGCTGAAATAAATTTGCATTTTTAAGTTTGGTGAGTCGCAACTTATTATTTATAAGTATACTAGGCGATTCATACATATGTGTAGCAATCATTTTCATATCTACTACCATTATAATATTTACTTATTACAATACACTCAATTAATTAGTAGAATTTCAATATAAATCTAATTCAAAATTTTCCTCTAGGGTGTTCTCCTAATGCCCCGAACATTATCCGAGAGCCGAAAATTACGTCTAAGAAGAGCTTTTACCGAAGCAACTAACGAAACACTTCAATGCTCTAAACTGGTATTTAAAAGAAACTTTCAACATCAAATAATTGTTTCACGTAATTCTGATTTAGTTAGAGAAGCCCCAATGTATGCCTGCTTTATCAAAATGCACTGTTATGTTAAATTTTAGAATTTATCAAACATCCACCCACATAAATGCTTAAAAAATAAATAATAGTGGATTGTGAACACACATCATATTTATATATAATATTTATATATATTACCTTTGGTATGACTCTAGTATTGAAACAAAAGAGAAATTAAATATTAAATGGTAAAAGGATTCTTGCAAAGAGTCTTTGTTTAAAGCACTATTGTAATAAATTTTATATGATAGAAACCCAATCAACTGCTTTTTCAATGCTTATATTTATGTTTAATCTCAAATACGTACATATGTATGTACATACACTTTTTATTTGCATTTCCGTTGATTTCACTCAACACGCGCTCCCTGTTAATATGTATGTATGTAATTTTAACCGCATGCTTATACCCATACACACATGTAAAGGCAGGAACATTTGCATAACACATTTTAATTAGTTTCAATGAGAAATTTGTGTAATAAATCACCAGGCACATAGAAAAGTTTTGAACACGCGTTAATTTTTTATAAAACCTTTCGTATGTTAACCATTTTCAGCACCCTGTATATGAGGAGAAAATATCCCAATTTCAGAATCTTTATATAGGCAATAAGTAATAAGCTCTAACGATTGAGCTGAATCTTCAAAAAAAAAAGATTTAGATATATGCATTGATGATGAAACTTGGGGTGTGCGAGTTTGAAAGAAACATTCATCATTTTCAAAATGAGGCCATGCCATTTTTTGCAAAAAAAAAAGATCTAACTGTATGATCGGTATTGACACTTACCGGAGTCAATATGCCGTAGTTAATGTGCCGTATCTCCGTCAATTTCTTATAAGAAAACAGTTAAAAAAAAAAAGATCAACTATTGTATTCTTAAAAGCAAAATGAGACACACCGTTTTTCTTAAATTTAGTTTTCCAAACAAATAGTGAAAATCGACTTAAAGTATTCGCATTTGGTCAGTCTCTGTTATTACAATACTAATTCGTTACGCAAACTTTGATCTTGCCCCATAATATTTCTTTTAAAAGCTTGTCTTTTTGCGGTTTTTATATAAAGTGCGAAAATCTAGTATCTACTGCAGTTAAATAATGAAAAGCGGTTTTAAATAATTTGTATAGTTCTCCAGACAGCAATAACCTTTTATGTTGTTTAAGAATTTTTCTTTGATATTCAGAAGTTTTTAAATTACGCCGATGATAGATATCCCATTTTAAGCTTCTACGATTATCAAGGCAGCGGTCGAATATTCTACTAATAGACAAAAATTTACAGCATTTGTTGTTATCGATTTACTCAACAGCCTCTTATCTAACGTTCGATTCCATTCAAGTTTATTATGATTATTATTATCTGTTATTAATTATCAATTGTAAATTATAAATTTATCTGGAAATAGAGATTTTCAAATATGTTTCTACATATTGATCTTAATACTTTCATGGTTATAATTTCATAAAATGATGTATATTAAATATTTGTTCGTCTAATTTTTTCATATTTTAATGGTCTGTTTGATAGAAAATATTCTAGGATTATATATTTTTAATGGCAAATAAATAGTATTTTTGTATACATTGCTTGTTTCGCTGTGTACTTACATACCTATATATATACATAGGTATTTAAGTAAACAGAGAAAAGCACTGGTATCAACAAAGATTTTCCAAATACATAAATATTTACAATTTCTCTGATTTATTACAAACAAATTCTCTCTGGCTCACGCAACTTTCGGCGAAAGCTCATTTACTTTATAAGCATTTATGTATGTACACACAGTGACGTCCAATATTTAAATGCTACTCTTACATCAATATTCCTTAATCGAGAAAAAGTACTAAATTTTTAATTGGGGAAATTAGTTTAATTAAAAAAAATGGGCAGATTCTGGAAAAATATCTCGTGAGAATCTGTTGTTATTGTTATGTTAGTACTGAGCCAAATAAAAATGTGTGAAAGTAATTACTGCTGATTCAAAAATAAGGTGCAATAACGTATATATTGGCATCCATAGAAAATATTTTAATGTAGAGTACTTTCCTTCCAAAAATTTTCATTTTTGATTTAGGAAAAAAAATCAATCATACATCGCTTTGATAGTATTTCAATCTGTTAAGCATTTGTATGCAAAGCACTTACAGCTTGATAGGTTTGAAAGTTAGCGCTAGCAAACTATAGATGTCGCCAATAACAGTTGTTTGCGGCGACCTTAGCCAAGCTGACGCGCCACCTATTGTCCACAAGCTGCAACTTGTAGTGGCTTCCGCAAAGAGCTTCTAACAATGTGAATATGAAGTTATAAGAATTATTCTTTTACTGCCGTGTTGAGAAGGAGTAAGCAAGCTACAAAGATTTTTCAGATGAAGCATATTTTATTTGAAGTTAATATGTTGTTTTAAATAACTGATTTATTAACTGTGTCTAAATATCTTCTGAGCCTTAATATGTAGATATGCAAGCTAGATATTAACCAATCATGTACTTAAAACTATGGATGCATACAAAATAAGAATAGAATAATTCAAGGATAGATTCACAACGCGAATTATCGGGAATGCGAAATCAATATTAAGGCTTTCTAGTGGGGAAAACTGGCATTCACTCAGGAGTGGCTGGAAACAAATATTTTGCATAGGGATAAAGCAGCTCATGGTTTCCGGCCTTAGACCAAGTATCCTCTGTGTAGCCAACAAACATCACTTTGGTGACGAATTTACGCGAGAAGGCGACATCCTTGCGGTTGTTCTAAGGTTTGGGAACCAATACATAAGACAAAAATATATTCCAATGAAAGATCAACACAGCCTCAGCTGAGAGACCATTTTTTGTGACGACTGTTTTAAGGATCCTGATTTGATGGCATGCGCCTGGAATTGGGAAAGTACTGTTATCTGGTTGATGTCCTCGTTAAATTAAAGGCTTACACTATTGCCATCCAAGAAGGCGATGGATGAGACAAGGGCGGAAGAAGATGGGTCCTTGTTAAATATACTACAGTGGTCATATAAAGGTGCTCAAATTGGGTGTCTGGTTTCGCGTAGTACCAAATTTACGCACAGAAAACTCACCAAGCTATACCATATCGATTATCTATTTCTGACGACATGTCTCCAGCGTTCCTAAGTTCTGAGGACCTCACATCTACTAGGATCTTTTTTAATCGCTGCGAAGATACGCACGCGCTTCTGTGTATCAAAAAACGCTCGGCAGCAAACAATAGGAAAGCTCGATAAGCTGCAATCACAATATACTTTCCACTCGATTTGCACACCTGCTCTCTGAGAACAATCATCAGCAATTCGATATAAGGGAACTGTGGAACGGCATCTCAAATTCAGTACGTACCGTCAGAACGAAAACAATTGGTTTTCGACAGGGCCAGAAAAAAGAGCTTGTACGATAGGGATGTCGAACTGCAACATGCAATGCAAACGACCACAACATGTGAGGGGTGCGATAGATACCGAGAGCTGAAGAGGAAAAGAAATGAATTGAAATAAAATGCGTGAGTAAGTTAATAAGAACCAAGGCGATAATTTGTTAACTGCAACACTCGGAAACGGTACACCAGAAACTCCAATCGATGATGATGGAAAAGATTTTCCATTACCGGACTATGACGAGATTCAAATAGCGATTACATGATTAAAAAATAACAAAGCGTATTGTGTGAAAGACTAAAGCTCACCCTCAGCAAGCTGATTAGACTTTATCAGTATGGCTTCAGACCTGGTAAATCCGGAACACCACCGGCAGCGCGGTGAGAGTTAGAAAGCACCTCTAAGAGCAGTTCGGTAACAGACGAGGTTGTACGCTGGAGAACATAATTAGAGCTGCAGACCTAAATAGACAAGGTGCAATCATGATGCAACAGCGTATATAACAGATCAGGGCACAAGGAGATGTACAAGTTATTCGATAACACTACCATATATATTGTACAGAGAATGAAGAGACAGCGCCTACGCTGGCCAGGTATTGTCATCCAATTGGTTGAAAGCGCTCTAGCTTTGAAAGTATTCGAATCAATATCAACTGGTGGAGGCAAAGGACGAGGAAGTCCTAAACTCTGTTGGAAGGTTCAGGTGTAAAGTGACCCAGTTGCACTTGGTATTTCAAACTGACGCCAAACAGAGAACAGATTCCAAATGTAATTGGTGAAAGTAAAATCCGAATGAAACAATACACCAAAATATAAAATTTTGGAATAACAAAAGAGTATATACATATGCACTTTGAAAAGGTTATATTGAGTCTATTATTGATATTCAGAACCAAAATGTTCTAGTTGACTAAATTGTTAAGATCCTTCTGTAACAGTATAACATCGGGAGTACAACTACAGTAATATAACTAAAGAGTTTTACGTCATCTGCATTAACCAAAAAGTTTGTTTTTTTAAAGCAAGCTCCAACATCATTTATAGGAAGAACAATTAAATAAAGGTCATGAATGCTATCTTGAGGTACTCCAGAGGTCGCCTCATAGGCATATGATTCGTGTTCTCTATTTTAACATAAAGGAATCCATTATATACCTAACCTCAAGCTAATACATTTAAATTCTAAGCGCGACAGTATCGAAGGCTTCGAAAAATGACTATAAAGGACAACAAATTAATATCCCTTCCTAGGTAATGGGATGCTATAATGAGAAAGACAGACACGTAAAAAACTATGCTGTGCGAAGTGTACTTTTTAAGTACATAAGAAGAAAGCTCACTCGAAGTCTTTAGAGAAAATACAATACCATTTATAAAGTTCACGAAATTTTCATATCATGAAATGTCTACGTGCCTGAAATAATTAGATTGATATTAATATATTCTCAAAAGTCTTTAGGACTCTCTCTTCCTCAATTCGTTTAATATATTTTATGTAAAAAGCTTGAAGTTATTCATATAATATAATGAAT